CTGCTTTATTTCCTCTATGACTCTATTACTCTGCTACTACCCCTACTCCTACTACTACTACTACTACTACTACTACTAATACTGCTATTGTATTGTTACTGGTACTGCTAATGTTTTTTTTTGTTTTTTTTGCCCTCGGCCCTGTTACTCTATTACTCTAATACTCTATTACTCTATTACTCTATTAGTCTATTACTCTATGACTCTATTACTCTATTACTCTGTTACTCTTACTCTATTACTCTATTACTCTATTACTCTTTACTCTATTACTCTAGTACTCTAGTACTCTAGTACTCTATTACTCTATTACTCTAGCACTCTACCACTCTATTACTCTATTACTTTATTAGAGAGGAATACTGTAATAGAGAAATAGAGTAATAGAGTAATAGAGTAGTAGAGTAAAAGAGTATTAGAGTAATAGAGGCAAAGAGTAATAGAGCAATAGAGTAATAGAGTAATAGAGTACTAGAGTACTAGAGTAATAGGAGTAAAAAGTTATAGAGTAGTAGAGTAAGAGTACAAGAGTAATAGAGTAATACAGTAATAGAGTAATAGACGAATAGAGTAATAGAGCAATAGAGTATTAGAGTAATAGAGTAACAGGGCCGAGGGCCAAAAAACAAAAAATGACATTAGCAGCACCAGTAACAGTAGCAATAGCAGTATTAGTAATACGAGTAGTAGTAGTAGTAGTAGTAGGAGTAGGGGTAGTAGCAGAGTAATAGAGTCATAGAGTCATAGAGGAAAGAAAGTCGATAGACTAATAGAGTAATAAATAGAGTTAATGGAGTAGTAGAGTAGTAGAGTAATAGAGTAATAGAGTAATCGAGTACTAGAGTAATAGAACAATACAGTATTAGAGTAATAGAGTAACAGAGTAATAGACGAATAGAGTACTAGAGTATTTGAGTAATAGAGTAATAGAGTAATAGAATAATAGAGTAATAGAGTATTAGAGTAATAGAGTAACAGAGTAATAGACTAATAGAGTACTAGAGTAATAGAGTAATAGAGCCTTTAGAGTAAGCGAGTAATAGAGTCATAGGGTAATAGAGTCATAGAGTCATAGAGCAATAGAGTAGTAGAGTAATAGAGTAATAGAGTAATAGAGTAATAGGGTAATAGAGTAATAGAGTAATAGAGTAATAGAGTAATAGAGTACTAGAGTACTAGAGTACTAGAGTACTAGAGTACTAGAGTACTAGAGTACTAGAGTAATAGAGTAATAGAGTAAAGAGTAATAGAGTAATAGAGTAAGGGTATAACAGTAATAGAGTAATAGAGTTAATAGAGTAATGGACTAATAGAGTAATAGAGCAATAGAGTATTAGAGTAATAGGGTAACAGGGCCGAGGGCAAAAAAAACAAAAAGAAAAAATAGCAGTACCAGTAACAGTAGCAATAGCAGTATTAATAGTAGTAGTAGTAGTAGTAGTAGTAGTAGTAGTAGTAGGAGAAGGGGTAGTAGCAGGGATTAGCAGGGTAATAGAGTCATAGAGTCCTAGAGTCATAGAGGAAATAAGTAGATAGAGTAATAGAGTAATAAATAGAGTTTATGGAGTAGTAGAGTAGAGTATTAGAGTAATAGAGTAATAAGAGTAATGATCGAGTAATAGAGCAATAGAGGAAGAGTATAAGAGTAATAGAGTCATAAAGTAATAGAGTAGTAGAGTATTTGAGTAATAGAGTAATAAGGTAATATAATAAAAGAGTAATAGAGTAATAGAGTAATAGAGTAATAGAATAACAGAGTAATAGACTAATAGAGTACTAGAGTAATAGAGCTTTGAGAGTAAGAGAGTAATAGAGTCATAGGGTAATAGAGTCATAGAGTAATAGACTAATAGAGTATAAGAGTATAAGAGTATGAGAGTAACAGAGTAACAGGGCCCAGGGCCAAAAAAAAAAAAAAAAAAGAAAAATAATGGCAGCAGAAGCAGAAAAATAATGTGACCAGATATTCTCCGCCCTGTTGTCAGCAATAGCCAATAGCTTGCAAGATCATCGAAGCTTGTTGAAGCCTTTTTCTAGCTCCAGCAAGTGGACTTGGAGCCAGCTCCGGCAAAGAATTCTCTGTAGCAAAGAAAGAAGAAAGGCAGCCCCCGTGTTCGTTCAGGTCCGAGGCTTCTGGTGACCCCTTTAATACATCCGGGCCACAAACGTGTGGCTTTGAAGCCACATAAGCCACAAACGTGTGGTTTTGAAGCCACATCAAGGCCACTTAACGTGTGGTTCTCAAGCCACATCAACGTGTGGTTTTGAGGCCACATCATCTGAGCGGTCACAAGGTCCCGCTTTTTGCGAGGAGTCCCAACCGGGTCCCACCGGGCCCATCCAAGTCCCACCTTCTGCGTCACCGAATCCCGTTTTTTTGCTCGCCGGGTCTTATCCGGGTGTCACCGGGTCCCATGTTTCCCACACAAGAAGTTTCATCTGGTTGTCACGTGTCCCATACTTTGCTAGCCAGATCGAATCCGGGTCCCACCGGGTCCCACCGGGTCCCATCCGGGTCCCACCTGGGTCCACCCGGGTCCCATTTTTCTAGGGCCGGGTCCCACACCCCGTTTAGGTTTTAAAAGTTTAAATGAACGGCGAGGCGGGACCCATGCACGGTTTTTGTGCATGGAGCTGCCTTTAGCATTGTAGTCCAGGTCATGTCCCAAACGGTGTCAACACTTCTTCAGTGAAAGCATGCATGAATCAAAGCATGTTCTCGCGAAGCTCGCACTGCTTCAGCAGTTGAGGCACTCTCGTTTGCCGTGTGCTTTCCGAAGGTGGAGGAACGAGATAGAGAAGATTAGCATGGCCCCTGCGCAAGGATGACACGCGCAAGCCGAGAAATCTACCAACGTGAAGCACAAGATAGCAGGGACAGCTGCAAGCTGCAGGAACTACAAGACCAGAAGAGTGCAGAGACTACGGTAAGATTGTAAGCTCCGAACCCACGAGGGAGGCTTTGGAAGGCTTCAGTTTCTGTCTCGAAACCCCACAAATGACGGTTCGAGAGGCTTTGCACTGTTGGTGAAAATCGCAAGCTTCGCGACTCCAAATGTAGGGCTGGAAAAGTCCAGCAATTCTGGCTTCGCTTGAGCGGGCCTCCCCTGTGCCCGTTTCTTTCATGTTGATTTAATGTACTTCCATAAGAAAGCAAGGCTTGGAAGCCTTAATCCTGAAAGCTTGTTTTTTTCCAAGCTGGACGCGCGCCTGTGTGCCACAGTCGCCTTGTTGTGTAGCAGTCAGGCGGACGTGCCTCAAAGTAGAAGAATTCGCGACCCCCCAAAATGGGGCCGTTTGGCGGCCCCATTTTTGGGGTCGGGGTTCCAAGCCTCCAACTCATGCTCAAACTATATATTTAATGAGGCCGGGCGCATGTCGCAGCCCTGTTTTCGGGGCCGCGAAACGGCCCCATTTTTGGGGTCGCAAATCGCAAATGTTCGGGGCCAACCAGCTGGATCTCGGGCGTGCGCCTGCCTGCCTTTGTTCCCGCAGTTTTGGGCATCATGCAGACGCAAGATTGAAAAGCCAGAAGTCTTGTCCAAAGCAGCTGCACGCTCACCTTAAATGCCACAACCAGCGGATTTGCAACTGTTTGTGTGCGCGATCGTGACACAACAGGACCCCGGGGCCGACCGTTGTTCGACGGAACTAGAACGGCGGCCGGAGCTTCGACTTTGGGCTCCACCGGTGGGCCTGGACAGCTCTAGGCGACGGCCTTTTGCTGTTGTGGATCGGTCGCTGAGGCCCCGTAGCTCGTGCTGAACGGCCAACACTGGCAAAGCCTGTGCGCCGCAGCTAGCCTTTTGCTTCTCTTTAACGAACCGCCCTGTTTCACCGCTGTCTTTGTTTGTTTGTTGGTTTGTTTAGTTTGTAGGGACCGAGTGCTACAGCCGTAGTCGACGAGGCCCGCCCACGCCAAAAAAAACCTTTTTGTCAATTTTTCGCTTTGTACAGTTTGGATTTGGAGTTGGAGGTTTTCGGTGGCGGCGTCAAAGAGAGTTTGCCATTTACAAAAGCGGTTGAAAGCTCTAACTGAATTTCTCAAATTCCTTGGGTCATCATGGTTGTACACATGACTGCACATTTCTGCCCGCGAAACCCACAAAGAGGGAAAGCTAAGTGGCTGCTGTTGGAAAGCGCAGGGCATTTTGGCCGAACGACGCCTGCTGGCCAAATCTGCAAGTCGCAGCCTGATTTCACCTTGTCAAAGATACATTTTTTTTGCAGCTTTTGAGTTGTTGTTGCATTCTTGCGCATCTTGTGTTCTTACTGGGACCGAGTGCAGCAACTGCTGTCTTTGAGGCCCGCCCACCCAAAACAAAGAGTTGAATTCACACCAAGTTTTCTTGTGTATGACATATTCGTTTGGTTCAAATATTGGAAATAATAATCTGCTATTAACTTCTCATTCAGTAAATCAACAACTTTATCTACATCAATTGCTTCAGCTGGCGGTCAACTTGTTGATAGCGTTTTAAAATTCTTGATTTGAGAAACTCGGGGGAGTTTCGTTTCTGATGAGACTTGGTGCAGCAGAATACATCTCCGTGCAGTGTGAGCCACAGCGGCTCAAAAAGAAAAAATTTTGATTCGAGGCCTTCTAAGCTCCTAGACATTCTAGCAGGCTCCGGGTGCTATCACGAGGTGCAGCCTCCTTGTATGAGCCATACCTCCGCCACCAGTGCGGGTTCGTCGGTGGTGCACCCCAGCTCCCTGCGGGCTGTCGAGGATATCCTGCAGGATCAGATCTCCTCTTTGCAACTTCGAGTTACGGCTTTAGAGTTCCGCTTGCACAGGCCGCTTGAGTCTGCCAGCCCCGCCTCGGGCTCTTCTAGTGTAGTGCTTGCGTGCTTCGAAGACCTCTTCGACGATTCTGCAGTAACTGCAACCGTTTGGGCCTTTCTGCCCTGCCACGAGCGCTTGCTGCTTTTGCAGACATCTTGGTTTGTGAATACCCAAGTCCTGCCTCAGTTGCTTTGTGCTGCTGCCACCCAGGGATGGCCGCACCCGACGTCTCCGCCTCCTCAGATCCCGCACTTTCCTCGAACAATGTGGGGTTGGCTTCAGGAGTTGCAGGGGTGTTGTTGGAGAAGGGACCGTTGAGTGTGGGTCCCATTGCTTTGGAAGATGGAGAACCGCAGCTTCCGGTCGCTTCCGAAAGCATTCTAGCCTCTTTGGAGGATGCCCAGGGCCCTGGCGAGGAGCTGCCGGGCGATGTACCTTCTCAGCCGGCCGAGCCGGTCCGGGAAGAGCATTTGGCAAATTATGACTTCGATGAGCAAGAGGAGCTAGAGTATTATCGAGAATATGACAATGGGTTTAGTGAGGCCTTGCGAAACCTTTCCGCTGATGCAGAAGCTGAGGCTGCTCTTGACAGGGCGCTCCACAGTCTTGTAGGTAGTGAGGAATGCATGAGCGAAGTGACCGAACAGGTGTCGGCATGCAGTCGTGAGGCCGATCCTGTCTTTGTACAAGAGCAGGTCATGAACGAGCTTGTACGGCACCCAGTGCCACCACGAGGATTTCAGCTTCCGTGGGAGCGAGGTCCCATGAAGAGCATCTTTGCCGATAACTTGCCGAGCTTGCCAAGCTTGAAAGGGATGCCACGACGTAGCATGCCGGAGCCTCCCCCCGTTGTGATTGCACCGAGTCTTTCGCCAGCAGCCAAACTGCCCTCGCCGTCCGACCCAATCTTTAAGCTAGTTGTGAAGGTTGTTAAAGATGTGGGATATCTTGAACGCCGTGAGGAGTTGCTTCAGGTTGGAATCCGCAAGTTGGCCATCAACTTAGAGCTAGTGGGTAACGCCTTTGTTCCCCCGGAGCTTCTGCACCAAGGGCAAGTCGACGCTGAGTCGCTGGAAGCGGCAATCGGGGTGAGGAGTCCTCTCACATTAAACAAGCGTGTAGGCAACCTTGCGAATTACTTAAAGTGGTGTATGGAGTCGTGTGTTCAGAGCGGCTGTTACCTACACGAAGCCACCGTGTGGAGGTATCTCAGCCACCTGAGGCATTCAGGCTCGCCTCCGTCGCGAGGAGCCGACTGTGTATCTATGTTTCGGTTCTTACACCATGTGTTGGGTCTGGACCTTACGCACATCCTCAAAAGTAGACGTGTCAGCGGAATCACTGAACAGATGCGCACCGGCAAGGGTTGGATTAAGCAAGCATTGCCCCTCACGGTGAGTGAGATCCTGTTCCTGCACCGGCTGTTGGAGCAACGCGAGCTGCACAAATACGACCTTGCGATGGTGGCATACATACTCTTAGCATTATATGCAAGAGCCAGGCATTCTGACCTGGCGGATGTTCAGAATGTCACGCATGACCACTCACCGGCGGGAGGATTTCTTATCATTGAGCTGGGTCAGCACAAGACGCGCCGTGCACAGGCGCGTTGCAGAGAGTTGTTGCCGGTTCTCATACCGGCCATCGGGGTGCACGGACAGACGTGGCTGAATACAGCTCAGGAGTGTTTGGAAGATGCAGGCTTGAAGCTAGAGGGTGAGTTGAAGGGGCCCATCCTGAGGGCACCCGCCAACTCATATGGCGACACCCTTTGCCTGCGTGAAATCAGGTCACATGAGATCACATCTTTCCTCAGGAAGATTCTTCTGCCAGTGTCAAGCAAAGACAGGTTATCATGTGTGTCATCGCATTCGCTGAAACGAACCCTTCTCTCTTGGGCGGCGAAGTTTGGATTGTGTGACGATGTTTGTGCGGTGTTGGGCCGCCACACTTCAGCGACCGTCAGCTCACGAGCCTTGTATGCTATAGATCTTGCCACGGCCCCCGCGCGGGAGCTGCAACGCATGTTATTGGAAGTGGCAGCGAAGCGCTTCGCACCTGATGCTGCCCGGTCAGAGTATTTTCCCTTGAGGTCACAAGCTCTCGAGTCGAATGCACCGACGCTGCATGAGCAGGATCAGGCCCTTCGTCACTCAGGCTCAGACGTGAAAACTGAAGTCGCTGCTGTAGCGGGCCCCATTGCCGACCCACCTGGTCCAGTCTGTGTAGACTCTGACTCTGATTCATCATCTTCCAGTGAGAGCTCCAGCTCTGCATCCAGTGATTCGGGAGAAGTCCCCCCCAGAATGCCTACCAAGGTACCAAGGATGGACGTGGCGTGGCCGCGTCACGAAGTTGCTGTGCATGTGAAGTCTCGCATCGCACACAGGATCGTCTTCACCTCGGAGGGAGGAACAATGGTCTTCTCTTGCGGGCGCTCAGGGTCCCAGAATTTTGAGAAGCTCCAAGGCTCACGAGAAGCAACGGCATTTTGCCAGACATGTCGGAAAGCCGACAAGTAGGCACAGGTTGTAGCCTCGGGGCTAGTGAGTCCTTCCAAGGGGAAGTGAAAATATGGTGTCCGTGCGATGCCTGTGGGAAGCGTGTCATCTGTGGAGCTGAACATGTGCAGGTAGCTTGACGTGTATCGTGAATGAGGTTTGAGTTGTTTGTGCATGCGCAAGTTTTGGCAAAGATGGTTCAGACATGTCGACTGACACAAATCAGAGAAACACCTGAAGCTTCCCAGAAACCCTCAATTGCACTACATGTGTTCTTTGATGGATCATGGTTCGTACTTCGTCAAACCTACGTAGCTTTCTTTCTGAACCATGTCCGCTTACCTTGACTCCACTGCCCACTTCGAGCAGCGATGCAAGGCATATGGCATAACCTCCGAGTCCATTACGAAGCTGGCAGGCATCGGTGTGAAAACCCTGGGCCAGGTCGCCCACGCAGTCGGAGTGCCAGGGCAGGATATTCAGGACTCGCTATTCGGTCCCCGGACCTAGAGTATGTCTGATGGGGTTTGTGCCGGGGGGCGGGCCTGGGTGGGACTTTTGAATGCTTTGAAGTCGGCGGCATACTTTCTTGACCTGAGAATTTTCACGAAGGATTTCTGAGACTTTCCTTTTGCGAGATGAGTTTTGAGTCAAGCTTTGGCAAGACTCTCGAGGACTTGCGAACGACATATACTTCCGATGCAGTACTCTCAAGGAGTTGTAGCTCTTTTGTGTAAAGTAGAGGGCTGGGGAGACCTTCGGCGCGATGGTCGTGTGAGCCCTGGCTCCAGAGATGCTTACAAATGGCCCTTAAGTGGGAAACAGTCAGTGAGATTGATCAAACTCTTTGCAACAAGTTGCAGAAAGCTTTCAGTGATCCTTGCAATCTTGCCCTTGCTTGTTTTGATGAAGGGAGCACCACTGATTTGGTGGAGGATGCATTGCAAGGACAATACCCACCAGAGAAGAGGCGCAGACTTGCTAGCAAGCTTCATCAGTGGAGCCTCGACGTTGAACCGAGGGTCAAGCGTGAGTTCACTTTCCGTGCCGGCTCTTTGAAAATGCTGGCAACTCGGGTGACTGTGCCGAAGAATGATGTTGGTGCTGAGTTCGATTCCTTGGTTTCTAAGAATCCACAAGTTGGAGTGCGCATCTTGGAACAAGCATTGCGGCAGAGGCGATTGGGTTCCGACACCAGTCGCCAGGCGAGGGAAGAAATCAGTCGCAGGAGGTGGATCCTAGAGCTGGCCAAGGTCATTCGTGAGGCCGGTTTTCCAGCTGCATCCCGTATTGATGCCATGAGCAATCCTGAGGCTGCATGGGTTCGTGCTTTTGGCTCCCGTCGAGCAAAGACTTTAAAGAATCGTGCCGTGGTGTGGCACAAGCTGGCGGAGTGGCTGCAGGCTACATACTCGGTGTGCTGGCCTCAGTCTGCAGAAGTCGTGCTACAGTATCTTGAGGAGAGGCATGAGATTTCACCATTGGGCAAAACTGTCCCGGGGGGAGTTCTCTCCTCACTGGGTCTTTTGGAGCAAGTTGGTCAGGTGGATGTTCCCAGCCGTCTGAGTGAGGATACGCTGCTTATCGAGGGTGTTCGTTCCTGGAAGGTTGAGCTTGAGAAGGACTCGGCGCCAGTTAAGCAAGCGCCCATGTTTCCAGTGATTATATTGCTGGCGTGTGAACTTGTGGTGTGCAACACTTCAGCTGACACGTGGAGCAGATTCTACGCCTTCGTTATCCTCCTTCAGGTGTGGGCTACGTTGCGCGTGGATGATCTTCAGAATATCAACCCGGCGAGCATAACTTTGTCACAGCTTGGGCTCAAAATGACTCTGGACAGGACGAAAACATCAGGTGCCGGGAAACATGTCGGCAGGCTGCAAGCGTTCGTCATGCGAGGCATTAGTTTATCTGGATTCGACTGGATTGGTCATGGCTACCGGTTGCTGAATTCGGAGGCCCTCAAGTTTGAGCGGGACTTTCTGTGTGTTCGTTTCTGCGGGGACAGGGACACTGCTAGCCAAGTTTTTATCGACAATGAGGAGGTTGCTCTGAACATACGCAAGTTGCTGCAGGAGCTGCCTATGCCAGTTAACAAGTCAGGCAAGTGGACATACAGTCGTGATTCACGCATGCTTCCTGAAGCTGTTGTGCCGTACTTCACAGGGCACTCTGGGAGGCACACGTTGCCGAGTTTGGCGGCGGCAGCAGGTGTGGCCAAGGAGCCCCGCGACTATCTGGGGAGATGGTCTGCAGCCAAGCACGGCAGTCAGGACTATGTGCTTACATCGAGGCAAGTTGTGCATCATGTGCAGTCCACTACGTGTCGGGCTATTCTCGAGGGGGTGCCTGCCCCGGGAATCGTTGAAGAAGAGTGCTTGAATGAGATTCAGGATTATTATGTCAAGCGAGGGGGTCCTCCGTTGCAACTTAAGCGTCAACTGAAGTGCCTGGGATGAAGCGAGAGGCTCGTGGGCCTTGGGGGGAACCTTCCCCTTGATTAGCATGTCACCTGGGATTTTGGAGCAGGCCAAAGGGGATCCTCGGGCCAAGCTACCAGAGGCTACGATTGAACCAGCGGTGGCAGCTCCTTATTTTGTCACAGTTTCGAGATCAGGATTCCGTAGGCTCCATACGAGCCACTCCTGCGCCGTTCGGCAGGAACGTTGCAGGGAGACGATCCCTATCTTCGAAGTTACAGAATCAGTTGCAGATGCAGTGTGCAAGAGATGTCGGCCAACAGACCAGAGCCGGCAAGCATCCAGTAGTTCTGGATCAGATAGTGTGGAGCCACCCGCAGATCAAGAGGGTGAATGAGTTGAGGTGCGAGCCGGAGAGCTTAAAAGGAGTGAAAGCCGGAGAACAGGGGCTTTGCACTCAATGAATCTTTCCGAATTGTTGCTCGCACATGCGTTTGAGTTCTGCCACGATTGAGAGCGAATGCTGTTCTACTTCTCGAGCTTTTGTCCGAGTGCCTAGTGGGTAGTTTTCGCTTGCGCAATCATGGAGTTTCCGGCAGGCATCAATGAGGGTGCGGCGCTCACATACATTTCGACCGAGGTGAGTGCCGACCTGGCGCACATATTGCAAGATGCAGGTGTTCCTTTGCCAGTGCAGTACAGGCTTACGCAGGCTTTCAAGAATGTGCGGAGGTTCGCGGCTTATGCCGATGATAGGCCTGGTGTGCGTACTGCATTACGTGCCGATATCGGCTTAGAGGCCACCGACATGAACAACAGAGCGGCGGTTGCCGCCGTGGTGGCTGCTTGGGAAGCCTGTTACATTCTTTGAACACTTGCAGAAGATATGGCTTTATCGTTTGAAGAAAAACAACATGACAAAATGGCTCAGAGAACTGAGTCCAATTTTGATTTGTTGTTTTAGGGCTTTTCCTTTACACTGCCTTTTTATGAACCCTTATTCATACATGCTGTAAACAAGTTGAAGAATACATTCGTCCGTTGCAGCTTGACCTCTCGAAGGGGCAGGAAGCCCTTGAATCGGGCGAGAGTTTTATTTGAAATACCCACCCTCTCCACCCTAATTGATTCGTGGAAAGTGCTGAGATTGCATCAGTGTTGTGCTACCTCAGGAAGTTTTGGACCTCTGCTTGAGGTCACTCAGGTATGCCTTGTGCATTAAGACCTGGTTCGGGTCTTGGCTCTCTGCTTCGCAGTGCTTTCGGTCTTGCTCGTCTTCGACTGGCAGGCCGTTCACTAAGGTTCATTTGTGAGCCGTGCACGGCTTGAGAGTGGCTAGTTCTCCTTTCGGAGGGGACAAAAAGAGTCTTGTGTCTCACAGGACCGACAGTTCGAAGTTTTCTGCCGTGTGCGGTACTTGCTACCCCAACGTGTGAAAATAGCGTCGAGCTTTGAACTGCTTGCATGTGGCATGTGCGAGTGCAAGCATTTATCCCCGAAGGTTCAAACATGATAGACATCAAAACACAAAGCACGATCTTCGAACGATAAGCAGAGACTATGCAGTGAAGGAGGCTGAGCTCCGCGCAGAGACTAAATTCTTGGGTATAGTGCGACCGGTGCTGCAGAATGAGCGCCTGGCCATGAAGGCGGCGTATGAGAACACGCATGGTAATGTTGAGGAGGCCTTTGAACCTTCAGACGATTATCTGGCGGCCAAGGTGGAGGAGTTCGAAAATGTGGAGCCCACTGCTTCGCCGCTTAATGAGATCACCAGCAAGAAGGCTGTCCGCACGCAAGGATTGCAGACCACTGTTGACAAAGGAGGAGCCGTCAGAATCGTGAAGCAGAAGCAGCGGGGTGCAATGCCCCAGACCACCGAGGAGCTTCGCACGGTGCTTCGCATCGAAGCCAACACTTATTGTTTCATGGCGGGTCGTTTCCGCAACAAAGCCTTCTTCAAAGACATGTCACCTGCACCTTGGGCCGAGTATGTGAACTACATCTTGGGCGAGAAAGTGTATTTGATGAAGATTCCTGTACCGTCTCAGGCGGGGAAAGGAAGCGATCAAACACCGGTGCGCCCGCCATGGCAGGTGCTGCTGACCTACGAGCATGAATTGCGAAAGGAAGCCATCAAAAGGGCCTATCAAGGGTCACAGCCATTGGTGGAAACATTGCTTTCGGTTGTGCGGGACTCTCAGATCAAGGAGCAGTTCTTTACGTCGCCGATTGCTCTGCAGACTTATGCTGGGAACAAACGTGAGTGGGCAGCAGACGCACCGTGGGAGGCGAGCAAGTGGATTCGCAACAAAGGGATTCCCAACTCCAAGGGTTGGGGCAAAGATTCTAAAGGTGGCAAGAAGGGCACCAAGGACAAAGGCAATGGAAAGAAGGGCGACAGGTCCGCCTACTCTCTTATGAGCCATACAGCAGATGGTCGCGAGATTTGCTTCGCATACAATGCTCAAGGCTGCTCTGGTGGCTGCGGGCGGGTTCATGTCTGCCGGGTTCGGGGATGTAACCAGCCGCATCCGCTTTGGGAGCACTTTGCCAAGATGAGCATCAAGGACGACAAGAAAGATAGCGGTTCGACGAACTGACTTCTGCGAGTGGTTCATGTTTTCTCTGGCCCTCCTCATGAGGGGGATTTGCATGCATGGTTATCTAGCTTCGCGGTCCAACAGAACTTCGAGTTGCAGATGGCCGAATTTGATTCAGCCCGCGAGCCAGCTTCGGACCTCAGTGATCCTGGTTTCTGGGATGGTCTTTTCTCGGAGATCAAGTCTGGGTCGTGGGACGTTGTTTTGCTTACTCCGCCGGCATCCACATTCTCGCGTGCTCGCAACAGGCATGCTGGGCGCAATGGTCCAAGACCAGTGCGGGATATCACTTATCCGTGGGGATTCCCTTGGCTGCGCAATGCAGATAGAGAACTAGTTTCTGTTGCAAATTTTCATGTCAAGCAGTGTTTGCAGGCAGCTACATTTCAGGCACAAGCTGGCGGCTCATGGTTGCTCATTCATCCTGAGGATTTGGGCGTTTCGTCTTCGGGGTCACACCCGGCGAGTCTTTGGCAGCTGCCTGAGGTAAGAGCTATTGTATCGAAGGAATGTTTCAGCTTCGCTTTGCACCTGTGCCATTTTGGCGCACCCGCGCAATTGTCCACGCGGATTGCCGGGAACCTGGCAGCTTGGAATCACCATGGAGTCCAGTGGCCGGTGTTTGATTCAGGCGGGCACTACATTGGTCCGCTGCGGCCTTGCCAGGTTCACGATCATTCTTCTACCGTCGGCTGGGACGGCACTGCCTGGCGCTCTGCATTCAGCTACCCCTCAGTATTCTGTGAGTTCCTGGCAAGAGCTGTGGCATCGGGTGCGAATTCAACATTTGCCACAGACTCAGCTGCACTGCCTGAGCTTCCGCATGCGGCTGAGGCTTTTGCTCGCGAGGTCATCGCGAAACCAAGCATTTTGGCATGTGACATTGAAACCATGTTCAGCCTGCTTCCTCACGAACCACCCCATGCCGGTTCTCAGGCAAGCTCAGGCACAGCTTTCTTCACTGGTGCATGCAGTTTGGGAGGTATCGCTGGACTTCGTGCGAATGCAAGCAAGTTTCCACTTGCCACACAGGTGCTCTGTGCCTTCTTGCATCAGGTGAAACCCGACTTTCAGTATACGTCTTGTGCTCTTTTCAAGAATGTGGCCACGCAGCCACACAGAGATGCGAGAAATGCGACTGGCACGAATCTCATTGTGCCGATTAGCTCCTTCAAGAACGGAGGTATCTGGTGCGAGGACCCTGCAGGCAAAGTTCCATTCCACTGCGAAGGAGTCACACGCTTGGGAACTTGTCTTGAGGTTGCATCTGGACCTGTGATCCTTGATGCCAGGGATCGTCTGCATGCGACCCTTGATTGGCAGGGCGATCGTCTCGTGCTCATCGCATACTCAGTTTCGCAGTGGCATGCGCTTTCTTCGCATCACAAGGATTTCCTGAGTTCCTTGGGTTTCAGGCTGCCGGTTTCCGGCCTTGCAAGCGCAGGGGAACTGAAGGCCTCAAAACCGACAGCCCAGGCAGTGCCGAGTGAGGTAACAACTTCAAGAAAGGTAGTTCCCCCACTTGAGGTAGTCCCATCTTCGTCCAAGGTAGTCCTTTCTTCACCCGAGGTAGTTTCTTCTGGTGCTGTGGCTCGGCTAGGCGCCCCCCAGGAGGGGTCCACTCCTGGGGCCCCGGTTCTTTCGGTTGCACCCGCTCTCCCCGTGTCGCACGAGCCTTTAGATGCGGTGGGTGTCGGACCTGCACTTGAGCATATTGAAATTATATCGAGTGAAGGTGAAGGAGAAGAGAAGACTGCTGCATCTGTGCCGAAAAATGATTCTGAATCTTTTGATCCATCAACTAGCCGCTGCTTTGGGCCACCCCTGGTATGCCGGCATGATCCGGCCAAGGCGGCTTTCAATGATGGTTTCGGCCTATGCTCGCCCGGGCGGTGGAAGCCTCAGGCGAGGAACCGGACGGCATCTGCCGCCGAGTTGGAGCACTGCGAGAATATTCGTAATATCCTCAACCAGATGTCTTTCAAACTCGCAGCCGGGCAATTGAAGGAATCACCTTTTTCATCATCGGCTTTGCAATCGGCCAGGAGCAGGATCGCTGATCTACTGCCCGATCCTCAACAGGCTATGTGTTGCCCCGAGAGGCAGCCATTCTTCCTTTACTTATTGGCACAATCTCTGGAGATGATGGGCGACCCAGATCATGCCATTCTTGTGCAGGGAGATGAATCATTTGCCGAAGGAGTGCCGATTGGCTGGGATAAACCACTGCCACGGACCCCTCAGGTGTTTCGACCACGGGTTCGTTATCGCAAACTTGATGAGACACCTTTTCAGGCGGTTATGCAAAATTACGAGTCGGCTGAACTTTCGGCTGAACAGCTTGAGGCCCATTTCCGAGAGGATGAGGCCAAAGGCTTGATGATCTGTACAACTGAAGCGGAGGCCAAGCGGGAGTTTGGCGAGGACGGAGTTCTTATAGCAGCCATGGGAGCAATCAAGAAACCGAATGGCGACATTCGCCCCCTTCACGATGGCACGCATGGCATTGGCTTGAACAATCGTATTCGTATCCTTGATGCTCTGCATGTGCCGGGACCGAACGAAATCACTGAAGCAACAGCTGTGGCGGCCGAGAACCAGGAAGCTGTTTTTGCACTTAGCGCGGACATTAGTCAAGCACACCGGCGAGCCAAAGTTCGTCGTCGCGACTGGGGAAGGCTGGGCTGCCGAAGTTCTTCTTCATCACGCGTTCTCTGGCTCAATACAGTTTGTACATTCGGTATCAGCTCATCCGCCTATTGGTGGGCGAGATTGTTCGGATGCGCAGGACGTTGGGTCATCCGCATGATGGGAATCGCTTGGCTCATGCAGCTCGTGTACGTTGATGACCTTCATCTGGTCCAGGCTGGCGAGAAGAAGTTTCATAACCTTTGGCTGGCTCTCTTGGCTTACGAGGTCCTTGGTACACCCTTTTCTTATGCTAAGTTTAAAGGTGGCATCACTGTTGACTTCATTGGCTACCACATCGCTTATAGAGGCTGGTCGGCAGGAATTTCGGAGCGTCGTGCTGGATGGATCATCGGCTGGATCGACGACTGCGAGGCTGGAGGCTGGATGGTGGCCGGCAGGCGTTTAAGCGAGCTGACAGGTCGTCTCAACTTTGTGGCAAGGCTTCTTCTGTGGATGCGCCCCTTCCTGGCGCCGCTGTTTGCTTTCCAGTCAGTCTTGAATAGAGGGACTGTGGCAAGAGCGCCGACGATGGTATGCATTGCACTCACTTTCATACGCAGCGAGCTCAAGAAGGGCTCACGCCTCGAGAGTGTTCTGCAGACATGGCCCGGCCCTCGTCAAGCCTTTCGTACTGACGCAAAATGCGAAGCTGGGAGAGTGGTGATCGCAGGCTGGTCATTGCAGAATGGGCTTAGCTCCAAGGATGCTCCGTGGTTCGCGCTTGAAGTTCTACCTGAGCAGGCTCCTTGGCTCTTCAAAGCAGACGGCTCGAGCCAGTGGGCATCAACTACGGCGGAGCTTCTTGCATCGTATGCTGCATTGCAAGTGTTCGGACATCTTGAAGCAAGCGAGGCTCGCGACAACTTGAGGGTTGTCGTATCTGCTGGAACTGACAACCGTTCTACTCCTGCGATTCAAGAAAAGGGCTTGAGCAACAAATGGCCTGTGCAGGCAGTCCACATGCAGATGGTTTCCCGGCTTCATTCTTGTGGTAAGATTTGTCGCTTGCAATGGCGACCCCGCGAGGAGAATGTGGAAGCTGATGACTTGACGAATTTTCGTTTCGAGAAGTTCACTACATCCAAGCGGATACCTTTCGAGTTGTCCGAGCTTGATTTTTCTTTGCTTGATTTGCTGGTTGCTGCTCGCGCTTCTTTTGAAGATGCTCGAGCTTCACTTGCAGGCAAGTACTTCAATGGCGAGAAGGTCAGCAAGCGGCAGCGGACTGAGGACAAGACGAGCTGGTGATCACTCTCTGTGGCTCTAAAGTTGGGAGGAAAGGGCAACAGAGGCTTTCACCAGTTCGCGACAGATCAGTCTCCACACACTGCCCAAAAAGACCGACATCTTTCAGTACGACGCTCTTTACCTTTCTGCTGCGCTTCACTTCATGTGGGTACTTCGGTTTAGCTTCAGGGTTCCACTTCGGCTCAAACTTCGGCTCAAACCCGACAGACATGCTATTCGGTCCCCGGACCTAGAGTATGTCTGATGGGGTTTGTGCCGGGGGGCGGGCCTGGGTGGGACTTTTGAATGCTTTGAAGTCGGCGGCATACTTTCTTGACATGAGAATTTTCACGAAGGATTTCTGAGACTTTCCTTTTGCGAGATGAGTTTTGAGTCAAGCTTTGGCAAGACTCTCGAGGACTTGCGAACGACATATACTTCCGATGCAGTACTCTCAAGGAGTTGTAGCTCTTTTGTGTACCCGCCCACTCCACCCGGGAGGAAAGGGCAACAGAGGCTTTCACCAGTTCGCGACAGATCAGTCTCCACACACTGCCCAAAAAGACCGACATCTTTCAGTACGACGCTCTTTACCTTTCTGCTGCGCTTCACTTCATGTGGGTACTTCGGTTTAGCTTCAGGGTTCCACTTCGGCTCAAACTTCGGCTCAAACCCGACAGACATCCAAATCAAAGAATGGGTCGACGCAAACTTGACTGGCCTGAGTGTTGGTGAGGTTCTGAGTTTCAAACGTCTTCATTTTGAGGCCCAAACAATGCTCATAGCACAGCTGCGGCAAAGCATTGTGGATCCCGATGCCAATAGTCGACAGAAGCTTCCGGAAGCCGAGCGTGATCAGCGAGTAAAGCTTTTTAAAGATGCCAATCCCGGACTTTTTCTTGACCCAACGACGGAGCCAGGCCACAGCCTGTTGGAGCTCACTAGCGCACAGGAACGAGAAAATGTCCTAAGGCATATTCCAGTTGAGAAATGCGTGAGTAGACAGCATGAGGTGCTGAACCACCGGCAGCCGAGTAAAGTGCTTGAAGTCGAGTCAGGCAAAATCAATGTCAAGGAGGTGACCGACACTCCTGAGCAGCCCGCCCACGGAGCGTTGGCTTTTCTTGAGGCCTTGAAGAGGCGAGGGTATGCATACAACATGGCGCGTTGCGTATCACTAAGTGCCTATGAGAAGTATGTTGCCAAATTGCTTATGAACTTCCGGCGCCCGGCTCCTCCAAATCACAGTCGAGTCAGCCTCACACAGCTACAGGATGCGGACAAGATGGTGTGGGTGCATATGGTCGAGCGGGGTACTCGACCCCGCCAGCAAACTGATGGGACGCGCGACATGGACACACACTTGCATGATGCATTGGATTCATACCAGGTCTCTGCATTGCTGCTGCCGCTACCGGTCGGTAACAAGCGCAAGCGGGACTACAGCCCGCCGCGAATCCCATACACGGGTAAAGGCAAGACGTGGAAAGGCAATGGCAAAGGCAAGGGGGGCAGAGGCAAAGGCACTGGCGTCGCGCCGCCTCCCCAGCAGCACAATGTGGCAATTCCCAAGCGAATCAAGGATGCCGGTGGTAAGGCTTATACATCCAAGGGTTTGCAAGTGTGTTATGGTTTTACCCACCGAACCCACGTTCGCGCGCAACAGCGCAGCTTTTGGGGCTAGCTGCAAACACCGGCAGGCGCATGCTTTCATGGGCTTCGCATGCAATGCTCTCCTCAAATGCCTCGGCCCACGCAGGGTTTCGGGCACAGGCCACTTTCCATGCCCTTCAGCAGTCAGCATATTCAGCAGATCAGCATATGAGCATGTTTCTAGTCTGGCTGTACTCTGGCTGTGCTCGCCATGGACCTTCCAGAGATGGCCGACCCTCAGTGGCGTTTGCGGCAGCTACGTGCGCTGCAAGCCTACACGAACGATGTTGTGGACCTTTCCCACGACATTGTTGACTTGTGCGAGGACAATGCAGTGACCTCAACAGCTTCTTCGTCTTCTACCAAGCCTGCTGTTTCTGAGACTCCCGTTTCCTGGAATCCGCATGCTTTGACAAATGCAGCAGCGAACCGTGAGCGAACTCCTCGTGGGATTAAGGTTTTTTTGGGCTTTGGGATTTAGGCTCAGGGTTTTCCGCTTCAATGTTCTCCGGTTTTGGGGTTTGGGGTTGCGAAATTTCGGTTTTGGGATTAGGGTTTTTAAGGCTTTGGGATTTAGGCTTGGGGTTTTCAGCTTCAAGGTTTTCGGGTTTGGGGTTCGGGAGTTTCGGGTATACGGGTTTTCGGGGTAGTCCTTTGGCCTTTGACGGTGACTCGACACATGCAGCCGCGTCTTGCTCCTTCGTAGTTCCGAAACCGTACCCTTACTTCACGGCCATGGCTTTTCCCGCAGATCCTTGGTACGTCCTAGGTCTGGCCATGGAAGTACATGCATCGGCAACTCGCTGCTTTTCCACAAGCACACTGCAAAACTGGTCAGAACACGACGTGCCGGCTTTGCTCCTGGTTACACAGGCTGTTTTCGGGTTGCTGCGGCACTTGGGGCTGGACCAGGAGGACTCGGACCTGGAGTTCTTGGCTCTCGTTGCGGACGTCCTAGCTACTTTGCAGACGTGTGACGCCGAAACACCTGCTGTTTTCACTTCCGCGGAAAAGCCGGCTGTGTGCAGGTACAGCATGCGGGTCGCTTTCAGGGAGAAGCTGGTTCTCGAACTGGGCTATCGTGAATGGCGTGCAAAAGCCTGCCAGGTCCAGTGCCTGCTCATGGACACTTTCCTGCATGTGCGGGCCAACGAAACAGTCTACTTTGCTAGCACAGGTCTTCGCAAGCTTTTCCACGGATGGCTTACCATCTTGGACAACACCTTCCTCATGCTCAAAGGGCTGTTGGACGAACCATGTTCGTCAGCTGCAGGTGTGCGCTGACCTTCTCTGCTGGCTGCCGTGTGCAAAAAAAGGCTCTTCTTGTCTGCAAGGCTCACTTCCCTGAGCACCAGCCTGAACTCCTGAACCTAAACCTTGAGCCCCACACTCCCAACACCTCCGCCTGGTCCCTAAACCTCGCAGGCGGATGGCGCCCAGCACGGTGTGACGCGTTCATCTGCTGCTCAGTACAATGAAGGCCGGGCTGGAAAACGACACTGTGGCTCCGGCAAGAAAGTTCGTGCAAAGAAGACACAAATCCAACAAGGAAGAATGCTCGTCGTCGCAGGTCGTTTCACCAAGAAAGTGCTTTTCAAACCTCTTCGGAGCAAACGACAGAAGAAAGGCGCTCCAGGCGGGACTGAAAGCTGCAGCGAAGTACGCCCCCAGCTGAACAAGCATCTGGTCAAGGACGAAGTTGTGGCATGCTCCGACGCAGGTGCTGGCCTGAACGCTGCTTGGAAACAGTTGAACATCCCAGCGGCTACCGCTCGTCATCACCTAGACGAATTTTCTCCTGTGAAGCGTTTCCGGAAAAGCGAGCTCTCTGCGAAGCAACAGCTTGCTCTTTCGAAGGCTGCCGCCAAAAAAAAACCGGCAGCAGTCTGGTCGCCTGCGAAACAGTGTGTAAAGGTTCTAGCAGGCGATAACCTTTGCGAGTCTGCCATTGGTCATGGCAAGCGCCAGATGCGGCGGCTCAACCTGCTCGGGCGGAGCTCACCACGTATGTTGCACATGGATGTGCTAGCCAGTCGTCGGCTCCTAAGAGAGCCAGGCATGGCAACCGTTTTGACTTCCTTGGCCACTTACCGAGCTGCTCGTGCTGGGCAGATAGGCTGTTCTCCTGATCAGTTCGGAGTAGCAGCAAAGGACAACTCGTGGCTTTTTGAGTGAAACAGCTTGCCGCCGCTTTAAGCTTCCGGCTTTGCACGATGACGACGATGAATAATGATGATGGATGTTGTTCATGTGCTGCTGTTGCTGCTGCTAAACCTCAGGATGATGATAACGATGCTGATGATGGTTGGTTGCACTCCTCAGGAAGCTGATGTGCTGCTGCTACATTCATGATGATTATTATGATGATGATGAAAATGACGATGATGATCATGATGATGATGATGATAAAGATGATAAGGATATCCATCTGCCCCTGGGACTCTTGATCCGGCGCGCGCGAACGCGCGTTTGGCGCCTTCTACCTTGGAAGGTTGTAAGCTCGGCAGTGCTTGCACAAGAGAGCATGTATGTGCCAAGTGTGAGGGTGATCACCCGATCACCAAATGCCCGCAGTGACAACCTCCAGAGCAAAATCACCCGCCGTCAGCTGTCAATGACTGTGCCAGTACCTGCACAGGAGACGTCGTGCTTAATACTCTTCATCAGGCCAACAACACACATCCGGCAGAAGCATTTGCTGAGGTTTGTTTGGCCCAATCTTCAATTACTGCAGACCAAGTGGTGAAGCTCACCACTTTGTTAGATTCTGATCCTCAGAATCGCCCAGGCTATCCCCCGGACGGCTTCGTCTGGGGCACAGGTGCAACTGTGCATGGTGGAGTCCACGCTTTACGCACAAATATGCGGTCTTTTCCCCTTGTGACCCAGATGCTGGCTTCATATGCCAAGCAGTGGGTGCAGGATCACCCTTTCACTAGTCTCATGTTCTTCGCAGATGTGCAAGCGCCCCTGCATGCCGATCGGAACAATGCAGCGGGTGTAGACAATTTTCTAATCGGTTTGACTGGCTTTGATCATGGAGAGCTCTGGGTCGAATCGTCCTCAGGTTCTCAGGTCTGCCCTGATCCAGCCTATCCCGGCTGCGGTGAGCTGCTTCCAGTCTCACGCACTTGTGCGTTTTTCGATGCTCATGCAAGACATGCTACCTGCCCATGGACGGGTCACCGAGTTGTTCTTGCAGGTTTCACTGTCAAGGGATACGATGCTTTTGGTCAGGCCTTGCGTGCTGAGCTGACAAGTCTCGGCTTCCAGATACCGCAGTTGGCCACGGGGGATTTTATTTGTCATACCCTAAAACCTCCCCCTCAGCCTAGCCTCGAATCTGGTTTAATCCCCACATGTCCCGT